AAAAAAAGAAAAAAAAAAATAGGAAAGATGTTTGTTTTTTGTTTTTTGACGGAACCAGGGATTCAACTCAGGCCCTTGCGCTTGCCAGGCAAATGCTTATTCTACTGAGCTATCTCCCTGGCCCCCCTAAATTTTAATGTCTGTTCCCCTATAGGGTCGTCTCTTTTATGCATGTGACAGACCCAAAGCTGAGCAGTGTAAGTTTTTCAAGTGGCTGGAGGAGGTGACACCCAGCAGGGCAACACCAGAAGTGTCTACACCTAGTATGGTTCTGAGCAACCTGAAGAGCCTCGGCTTGTTCCTGCGAGGTCAGAGGATCCCAATCTACGAGGAGTGCCAGCTTCTGGTCAGGTGTGTTTCATGGTGCCAAGTCACTGCCTGTGACTGCACCAGGGGACAGCGACCGAGTGGTGTGATCAACGGGTTGAAGGAAGTAGAGACAAGATGAGCATGTCACGGAGAGACTGCCCAGTTGTAACTAAACTGAGAATGCTTCTTGGAAGCTCTTGGCTTCTCTAGGCATCAGGCGGGTAGGCAGATCAGGATAGCTGGCAGTAGATTATTTTCCAGCCTGTTCTAGGTCTGCTGTGCAGTCGGGGATCTTCTGCCCAGTCCCAAGGGATGCCACCGAACAATCCACAGAGTCACCTTTAGTGGGTAGTAGCTAAGAGATCATTAGACGGGATGGAATGGGGGATGCTTTTTTTGGAAGTCCGTGTGTTACAAGGATACGGTGAGTATCTGCATGGTGGCATGAGAGCAGCTCACAGGCTCTCTCCTACGTACTTTGTTATTTCCTTTAATTGGCACAGTGAGCTGTAAACTAAGGAGACAGTGGGGATGGGTTGTTATTCTCACTTCACCACTGGCGAAGGGGCTTTTGGATACTTCTCTTACCACTGTCTCTTAAGATTAATGACAATTCTTTTTTTTTTTTTTTTCCCCATTGGCATTAGGAATCAAATCCAGGGCCCTCACAATGAGCTATATCCTTGCTCTTCCTAACTTTTTATTTTGACACAGGACTTTGCTAAATCAATAAACTGCTTAGGGCTGGTGAGATGGCTCAGTGGTCTAAAGCACCTACTTAGAACAAGCTTAGCAAAGCACAGGGACCGCGGTTCAATCCCCCAGCACCACATGCCAGCCAGCCCCGCCCCCTGGTGGGCTGAGCTGACCACACACATACACACACACACACACACACACACACAAATAAATGAATAAAATTAAAAAAAAAAAAATAAACTGCTTAGACTGGATTTGAACAGTCGACCCTCTCAGGGTGCTGAAACTACAGGACCAGACAGAACTAGGCCAATTCTGTAAGGGTTGTTATTTTCTTCCTTAGATAGAATATATAGTTTGTATACATGTATGAAAATATATAAACATATATAACTGTATTTTTTCTTTTTTGTGCTATATTTTGAAGGTTTTAAAAAACTTTGGCTAAGAGTTAATACAGAGCTGTCCTCCCTCATGCACTTATAATTCCAGTTACTGGGGATGGGGAGGGGGGAGGATCACATCTTCAAGGCCAGCCTGGCAGTTCGGTGCGACCTGTCTCAAAATAAAGTGAGAAGGGCCAGCTATCACTCAGCGGTCTTGTGCTGGCCTGGCATGTGAGAGCCCTGTAATTGAAGCCTGGCATCCCCCAGCTCATACATGTGTACAAGCATGAAATATACCTTAATAGGTAAATTATTTTTTTATTGTTGAGGATTGAACCCAGGCCTTTGTATTGAGCTACATTTCTAGCCCTTTTGAGACAAGCTGTCATTAGGTTGCCCAGTCTGGCCTTGAACTTGCCATTCTCCTGCCTCAGCCTTCCAGAGTGCTGACATCTTAGGTATCCACCACCACAACTGGTTTATTTATGTTTTATTCTGTTTTCAGAAAAGGATTTGATTTTCAGAGAAAACAGTATGGCAAACTAAAGAAGTTTACTACTGCAAATCCTGAATGTTACAGTGAACCCAAAAGCAAGCTTTATCTTAAGCTGAGTCGGAAAGAAAATTCTTCAGTCTATAGCAAAGGTTAGTTGATGGTGCAGTTACATACAGCTGAATAACTGTCATGTACAGGAAATTTTAGAAGTATGGCTTAATAGCACTTTCTCTAGTACACTATGGTATAATGAATTGGATCATTTCTAAAAAGCATATCTTAATTTTTTTGAGCTTTTAAAAATTTTATCACAAGAATGCCAGGACCTGGGCTGGGGAGATGGCTCAGTAGAATAAGTGCTTCCCTGGCAAGCGCAGGGGTCTGAGTTCAACCCCTGGTTCTGCAAAAAAGCCCCCAAAAAAACCCCAAAAACAAAACAAACAAAAAAAAGAATAGCAGGACCTGTTTATTAAAAAGTCACATTAAATTCTTGGCATCATATAAATACATATATTGATTCAACCATATCCTGACCTGTTACAGAAAATAAGCTGAAACATGAGGTAAGTTCACATCAATACATCTGTCATTATCTGCTCAGTTTCACAGCAGCACACACGTGTGTACCCACAAAGATGGATTTCACCAGAGTAAGGGCTTATGTATAGGAAAGGACACAACCAGGGGAGTGAGGGACAGCCCGTGGGCTGGGAGACTATGTGTTGATAAGCAACCAATGTCCAAACTAGGTGAGGAACTCGAGCAATTTGGTGAGAAAAAGGATCTGGCTGCAAGCATGGAGAGACTTCAATAAACACTTCCCTAGGAGGGTGCGAATGGCCTGCATCTTCAGGAAGGAGCGTAGATGGATGTCAGTCAGAACTTGAGCAAGGCCTCTCCTGCCTTCCGGCCCGTAGCAGCAGGGCCCATGTGGAGTGCAGAGCAGGGTGATGGAGTGCCTCTGGGAAAACTGCACTGGTAGAGGCAGTGCCTCAGAACCAGAATCAGAGCTGCCCTGTGGCCAGCAGTCGGCCCCTGGGGGGTATGTTCAAAAGAAAGAATACAGTTTTGCATCCTGAGTTGTTGAACATCAATTACAACAGCAAAGACCTGGCAACAGCCTGAGGTTCCTACAGTGAAGATTAAAGAAATTGTCATGTATGGGATATTATGTAGAATACATAGGGGGCCTGCCCGTTAGCTCAGTTGTTTAAGCGCCTGCTCATGCAAACGCAGTCAAGCGCAGGATACTGTGGTTGGATCCCCAGCTCCACCTGCCTTATCAGATTGCCCTTAAGGCAGGCTTGAGCCAGCAAAAAAAAAAAAAAAAAAAACCTCTCTGGGTTTGGGCCTCCTCACATTGACATGGCTAAGCACACCAAGAAGGTCAGCATTGTCGGTGAATGCGGGACTCACTATGGTGCCTCCCTCCAAAAATGGCGAAGAAGATTGAAATCAGCCAGCACGCCAAGTATACCTGCTGCTTCTGTGGCAAGACCAAGATGAAGAGGAGGGCCGTGGGGATCTGGCACTGCGGTTCCTGCATGAAAACCGTGGCTGGTGGCTCCTGGACCTACATAACCACTTCTGTGGTCACAGTCAAGTCAGCCATCAGAAGACTGAAGGAATTGAAAGACCAGTAGAAGCTCTTACTATACATCCCTAGCCTATAATAAAGGGATTAATTTATGTAATGAAAAAAAAGAATAATATTATCAGCATGTCTCAGTTACCTTTCTCATGGCTGAAACAAAATGCCTGAACCCACAGTTAAAGGAGGAAAGGTTTGTTTAGCTCACAGTTCGTGGAGGCTTTAGACCATAATAAGGTGCTCCAAGGCAGGTTGGTGCAGCAGAGGGGCATCACAGAGGAGAAATGTTGATTGCAGGCAGAGGAGAGCAAAAGCAAGAAAGTGACAAGAGACAGCCTCTTTCTGTCTTACATTTTATCCAGGCTACTTGGAGCAGGTAGCACTCATACCTTTAAACCTAGTGCCTGAAAAGCCCCACATGTGACTATATTAGGCTTTGGGGGAATGTCTAGACACAAGCTGTAATACAGTCTAAGTGGCTTTCAATAAAGAGTAAAGAAGTAGAGACATATATGATAGTATTTTGCATACAAACTAGTATTCTATCTAAGTGGCTTTCAGTGGAGAACAAAGAAAGAACTTAGAACTGTTATTTTTTTTTGTGTGTGTGTGGAACCAGAGATTGAACTCAGGCCCTTGCACTTGCCAGGCCAGTGCTTATTCTACTGAGCCATCTTCCTGACCCTTGAAATGTATTATTTAGCCTTACGAAGAAGGAAATCTGACGTTTGGGACATGTATAGGCTGAGAAGACTTCATGCTAAGTGAAGCAAGTCAGATCTGCACTGTCTCACTTGTGTGAATCTAAAGTAACTGAATTCAGACAAATAGTAGTAGGTGGTGGCAAGATTCCAAGGGTGGAGGGAATGGGGAGATGGAGAATGTAGACTAGTTAGGATGCAGCTCTTGTCCTGTACAACAGGATGACTGGGTATTCACAATACATTCATGCTGAGTGTGTGGACACACATGTGTTCCCAGGTATTTGGGCCTTGTGGGAGATTGAAAGATCAAGGCCAGCCTAGGCAACTGAATAAGATCTGTCTTAAATGCAAAAAATGACTTGGGTGTAGCTCAGTGACAGAGTACTTGTCTCACCTGCCCAAGGCCGTGGGTTCAATCCCAAGGTTCTCTCCCCACCCCACCCCATGGTGTGTACTGAACTTTGTGGAGGGAATAGATCTCAACAGTCCTCACCATCTGAACCTGAAAAGGTGACTGTCGGGTGGGGGCGTGATTCTTAGCTTGAGTGTGAGAATCAGGGCAGAACGGTTACTTGTGTGAAAGATGTGGGGCTGGGGTGTGGCTCAGTGGGACCTGGGTGCTGTTGGTGCAGTCAAGGCTCTGGCTGCCCCTGCAGTGTGCCCTGTCCATGAACGATATTCATTTGTTTACTCTCCATTCACGCTTGAGCAAAGCTAGGGAAATGCTTGTCCTTTCAGATGATCTCTGGGTGATTTCGAAAACCTTGGACTTCTCACTGGACACGTTCATTGCGTGCAGCGCTTTCTTTGGTCCGTCCTCTGCCAATGAAGTGGAGCTTCTACCTCTGAAGGGTTACTTTCCTTCCTGCTGGCCTGCTAACGGTGAGCATCTATGACCATCTCCTTTCCTCTTCAGGAGAGTGACAGGCGTGGCCTGTGCCCAGAGCCAGGACACCTGTGGGTCCATTTGATTCTGCCAGCAAGAGCACTTGTCAGGCCTAGCCTCCTGTGTGTGTCCCTGAAACACCTGACAGTTGAATGTATGGAACTTTCTGCAGCTTGTGCCCCACAGGGCTGACAGTAGCTTTGCTTCCTGAACCATCATTTAAATATTTTGTTAAAATTAAATTTTACACAGTATATCCTTGGTTTTTAAAAATATAAGCGTTAAATTGTGTGTGGTGGTACACACTTGTAATCCCAGCACTCTGGGAGGCTGAGGCAGGAAGATCACAATTTAAAGCCTATCCTGGGCAACTTGGTGATTTAGAGACTCTTCTCTCAAAAGAAAAAGTATGGGCCAGCAAGATAGCTCAGTGGACTAAACCTCCTGTTTAGGCAAGCTTAGGAACTGTGGTTTGATCCTGGCACCACATGCTGGGCCTGCCCTGCCCCCAGGGCATGCTGAGCTAGCTAGAGTCCAGGGCGTCACCACAGCGTGGCGTCTCCACGCCCAGTCTCAGTTGCCATCTCAGAGTGTCCTAGGGGTGGCGCAGGCCTGTAATCCCAGTTCTAGGGAGGCTGAAAGCAGGAGGATCTCCACGAATCTAAGCTGCTTAGTGAGACCCTGTAACAACCAAATACATAATAAAAGAAGAAGGAAAACAAAAGCTGAGGATGTAGTTTAATGTGAAGGTCCAGGTCTAATCTCTACTCTTTTTTTTTTTTAAATCTCTACTCTTAGCACTTCCAAAAAAGAAAGAAAAAAATATTAAACTATAAATTAGCCTTTTCAAATGATTTCTTTCTTTCTTTCTTTTTTTTCCCCCCTTTTCTTTTTTTATGCATTTTGGACTCGTAGTGATCCTCTTGTTTTCAGCCTCCCTAGTGTTGGGATTACAAGCGTATGCCATCCCGTCCAGACTGGCTCAGCCTGCCCTGGGAGTGGAGCTGGTATGGCATGTGGTGCTGGGGATCGAACCATGATCCAGTGCTTGCCTAAGCTTGCCTAAACAGATACTTTAGTCCACTGAGCTGTCTCACTGGCCCTCAAATGATTTTTTAATCAAGTTCTCATTCTCTTGGTTTATATGAAGGTATATTTATTGAACAATTCATTTTATGCTGAGAGGTCTTAGAAATATTCAGTTTTTTTATTTTTTATTCTTATTTTAGGGAAGGGTCTACGGGGTGTTCAGGGTCTCACTACTAGATCTGACTCATAGTGATCTACCTGTTTACAGCTTCCCAAGAGCTGTGATTACAGGTGCGCGCCACCACATCCAGTCTCAGTTGCCATCTCAGTGCGTCCTGGGGACGGGGCTTGGCACAGCAGGCCTGGGGACTGAACCCCTGATCCCTGCACCTGCTTGCAGGTGCTTTAATCAGTTGAGCTATTTGGCCAGCCCAAATGTTCAGTTTTGAGTGTGTCTTTTTATTAGTTTGTTTGAGGTAGGGTTTCACTATATATTCCAGGCTGACCTTGAATTCACATTGTAGCCCAGGCTGATCTTGAACACCCAGCAGTCCTCCTGCCTCTTCCTCTCAAATTTTGGGATTCTAGGCATGTGTCATCATGCCTGGCTCTTTAGCTTTTTGAGACAAAGTCTCACTGTGTAGCCCAGGCTGGCCTCAAAATTGAAGTGATCCTCCTGCCTCAGCCTCCTCGGGGCTGGGACTACAGGCACCACTGCACCCTGTGAGAAGTTCTGCATTAGACTAGCTACTCACCTTATTGTTTTTAAATAAAGAAATCCTTACTATTAAGCTGAATCCCTCTCTAGTTCTGGAATCTGTGGGCTTTTTTATACATTTTCATTTGTCTGTTTCTAACGTTTGAATTTGGTCTGTAATTAAAGACAGCATTTGATGATATTTTTCTAATATTTCATGTGTTCTTATAATATTTGGTTTTTAATTAAATAAATGTAGTCAACCAGTTTGCGTATAACCAAAGCCTAAGTAAACATTTGTCATGTTCGTATGGATATTTTCATATTTATTGGCAACTATTTCCTTACTGATAGCAGTTTTCTAATTTCCTGTTTTCTATTTTAATAAACCAAAAGAATGCATTAGATATTTCAGATTATACAGAAACTGCTGTACTGTAGCATGAGTGGTATGCTTAGTTGGCCACAGTGCGCAAACTCAGAAATCTGCTCTGTCCAGTAAGTGATGTCCAGGTTGGCTTGAGGGGCGCAGTTTGTGGTGCTTACATAGAGGGTGACAAACAGGTCCCATGACTCCATCGTGAAGGTTCGAGGATTTAGAGGTCCTTGGAGGTTTATTTGGGTCATGTGATTCAGAAGCCAATGAGCTCCGAGTTACAAGGACATTCCCCCCAGCCCCCAGGTTCTCACTTTTTCTGTCTCCCTCTAGTTGTGGTCCACGCGCTGTTGGTTTGTAATGCCAGCAGCGAGCTGACGGCGCTGAAAAACATCCAGGAACACTTTCACCCTGGAACGCTGCCCCTCACGCCGCACCTGTTAGCCATGTAAGCTGCTGTTTCTCTTGGGTGGTTGGTGTCAGAGAGGTAGCTGGGAATGAATGTGAAAGTAAGTAAAATCCACTCATGAGCTTTGCTAGTGGACTCTTCCTCCTCTTGAGACAAGGAGGCTTCTGCTTGCCAATATTTCATCATAAAGAGAGAAAGGGATCCCGGGAGCATGTGGGTGCATTCTGGCTTAGAGTGTTCCAGGCCTTAGATTTAGTCCTTGCTACAAAAACAAAAGTCAGCAGAAAAATTCAAAGATAAAAGATAAAAGGAATATGAATATTTTCATTTATTTATTATGATTTTGGCTAATAAGTTGCAATTGCTTTTTTATCAAAGGATAATTTTTATTTTTATTTCATTTTATTTTATTTGTGTTTAGTGCTGGGTCTACAGGGTCTCACTACATAGATTGGACTTGTAGTGATCCTCCTGTTTTCAGCCTCCCAACCGCTGGGATTACAGGCAGGCACCACCACACCCAGTCTCAATTACTGTCTCAGTGTGCCCGGGGGGCGGGACCGGCATGGCAGACTGGCAGCATACCTTAAAGGCTTATGCAAATCTTCATTTTTTTATTCTGCATTTTTAGACTTCATACTATTTAACATTTAAAAGCATCGTTTCACAGCTTTAATCAGTATATGTGTTAATAGTATGCTGATTTTACTTTTGCCATTACCTGTGTTTCACCTAGAATTTCTCAATCCACTGCAACTCATTTATTGCAGTGTTACCAAGGCCTTTGGAAAAAATGGTGACTTTATGTTCAATTCTTTAAGCTGACTTTAAAAAAGGTATATTTTTAATTTGAAATTTTATTGTCTATCTTGTCCTATTTTATCCTTTTTCCACTGCAGTGAAACTCTTGAGGGGGAGGCTTGAGACAGGGTCTCACTTTGTAGTTCACGCTGGCCTTAAATTCACAGTTCTCTCTCCTCAGCCTCCCAAGTGCTGGGGCATGGTGTGCCACCATGCCCTGTTTACCACAGTGAGATTCTAAATGAAAACCATCCATAGGATTCTGTTACATTATTTATTCATTTGGAAATGAATTCAAACATTATAAAAGTAAAATAAAATAAATAAAAGCAATCCATTTATTGCAGTATTACCAGATATAGAGGCTATATCAGTTTTCTAAGTCAGTCTACTGGTTAGTAGCATTGTGGTTTTTGTTGCGTGAAGGTTACTTAACCAACATGCAAACTGAGTCTCCAGCCAGCAGGCAGAGGGTGATGAGTAGGGTCTGTTCTCCAGTGCACCTGGCTGCAGTCCAAGTGCGTTCCTTGCATGACACAAGAAAGCTCAGCTGTGAGCAGTCTGCACTGCTCCTGTGATGGTCTCTTGTTTGTGGTTGATTTGCTGCCTTTCTTTTAAAACTAGGTCTGCAGCCCCGACAGCTTGCAACAAGAGCGCTGATAAACGAAAGTTCACCCCACCAGCCTTTGCCAGCTCACGCATGGCCCGGGTACAGGAGCCAGAGCGGGAGTGGGCACTACATCTGGCCGGTGAGCTGGGCCGGGTGCATGGACTGAATGAAGACCAGGCCGCGGCCCTGAGCCAGGTGGCCCACATGCTGGCGGCTCCCGGTGGTGCCGATGGTGCCTCCAGCCTCCCTATCACCCTCATCCACGGTAAGTGGCGTGCACATTCTGCCTGGAGCAGGGTCAGGCTGCACCTGTGCTGTCATGCACTAGCCAATTCCACAGCCAGTAGGTCTGCTCCTGATGCTTAAGCTGCTAACCCCTGAGGGGAGCAGGATGACCCACAAAGGCAGCAGTAGTCCCTGTTGGAGCAGTGCTGTCCAATCCTGATAGGAGCATCCAGGTCTGACCTGGGTATGTCAAGTTGCTGTGTGAGGGTGGGCTTAACTGCCAAAAGGGCCTTTTGTTTCTCCTTAACAGGTCCCTGCCACCCTTCACAGCAGCTATTCCAAACCCTCTTGTTCTCATAACCTCATCTTGCCTTGCCTTGTCCTGTTTGAAGCTGATCTTGCCTCTAAAATAGGAAATTAGCTGGGTGCATGCCTGCAATCCCAGCACTCAGGAGGCTCAGGCAGGAGAATCTCTGGAGCTCTCTGGGCTACCTAGTGAGTTCAAGGCTGCCTAACGTACATAGTAAGATGCTGTCTCATGGAGAAAAAAAAAAAAGGAAAGAGAAGAAAATTGAATTGTTTTCCTAAAAGAAGTAATAAACTTCTTTTAATGTCCTATACACCTTTTCTGAGGTACACAGTTTTAGATCTGGTTTTACCTTTTTACCTTTGCCAGTGAAGGGCCTTCATTCCCTCTGATAAGAGTAATGTGCTTATCTTGGTCTAGGCTCCTCCATAGCTCATATTTGCTGGCAGACCTGTATCCCAAAACTGACTCTGCCCTGTCCTGAGGAGTTATATCACATCTACATGTGGACCAGTGGATGCCTAGGAGTCATTACTGTTTTTCCTTATTCTCACTGTCTTCCCATGTCCCTGCATCCAGTCAGTCACGAAGCTGGGCCTCATCTTCCCCAGTGAGTCTGTCCCAGCTCCCATGTTCCCTCTGTGTGGCCCCTCCATAGCACTAGAGTACCGCCCATGTCCTGGATACATCACTGGTCAGTGATGTGGTCCCGGCAGGGTTAGCTAGCCTTTGTTCTCTGCCATAAAATGAGGATGATAAAAGCATCTCCCCTGGGGTTGCAGATTGGACAGTTGTTCATAGGTGAGATGCACGGGAAGGTGCATGGTGACTGGGACCCCCTAGCAAAGCCAGCATTTAGCATTGTTAGAGTTTTTATGATTATCTCACACAGTGCTTGAGCTACCTCTACTTTTACCTTTCTACATATTGTGACCCAGCTAGTTTTTCTAAAACACAATCTGCTGTCTGTCCTAGTGCTTAAAAATCACAGATGACTTCTCTAACCCATTCAGGTTTGTTTTGAGGCAGTGTGACTCATGTTGGCCTTGAACTATGAGCTCTCACTGCCTTTGAACAGTGTGTCTAGAGACTCCCCAAAGCCTTATGTGGTAGGATTTCCAGAGGTGGCTGTATCTGGAGTGTGTGATTACTATATTAGCCTACTTTTGGAGTGGGTGCTTCCCGCCCTAAGGGCAGGTAGCTTGGAGAGGGTTGTCACTTGCTGTTTGCTGCCTTTTGCTTGTGTGCTCTGCCAGGCCAGCCTACCTTGGAGCCAGCCACTGTAAATTGAAACCCCTCCTTGGGTGTAAGTTTTTTTGTTTTAATTTTAGGACAGGGTCTACAGGGTCTCACTACTACATCGGACTCGTAGTGATCTGCCTGTTTACGGTCTCCCAAGAACTGGGATTACAGGCATGCGCCACCATGCCCAGTCTCAATTGCTGTCTCAGTGTGGCCTGGGGCTGGCACGGCAGGCCCAAGGATTGAACCCCTGGGCCTTGGGCCTGCTTGCAGGCGCTTCAGTCCTCTGAGATATTTGGCTGGCCCAGTGTCAGGTATTTTGCAGAGTGCTCTGGGGGCAGGGTGGCATGGCAGGCTCTGGATCGAACCCCCATCCTCTGTGTATGCCTAAGCAGGCACTTTAATCTGCTGGGCTATTTGGCCAGCCTGGCCTGGGGTATTTTATTCTAGATTTGGCTCTGATACCTCTTTTATTTTACATTTAGTACAGGGTCTACAGGGTCTCACTACACAGATCGAACTCATAGTGATTCTCCTGTTTTCAGCCTCTCATGTGCTGGGATTACAGGTGCGCACCACCATGCCCAGTCTCAATTGCTTGTCCTGGGAGCGGGGCTGGGGCCGGCACAGCATGCAGGAATTGAACTGGCCACTAAACTCTGCCTAAGCAGGCGCTTTAGTCCGCTGAGCTATCTGGTCGGCCCATTGCCACCTCTTACTTTTAGGAAGCATTTCCATTACCAAAGCAGAGACAAAACTTCTGTCAGTGGTCCTGTAACAGCGTTTCTTACTGTAGTATTTTATCCTTATCCCTTCAACTTTTCAGCCTGTTAAGGTGATTATGGTCTCATTCTGGGGACGAGTGTGTTGATCATTCTTCTATTCCTGTGCCCACCATGTAGTGGGCTCTCAGGGTTTTAAACATGTTCAATAACTAAATAAAGGAGAACACAGGATGGATGGAGGAAATACTTCTGGTACTTTCAGAAATGTTGTAGAGTGTGGTCTTGATCCTTTCTCCTTCCTTTTAAATCACCAGGTGTTTTTGGTGCAGGCAAGAGCTATTTGCTGGCAGTGGTGGTTTTGTTCTTTGTTCACCTGTTTGAAAAGAGTAATGCTTCTGCAGAAGGAAACACACGGCCATGGAAACTTCTTATTTCCTCCTCCACCAATGTTGCTGTGGACAGAGTACTTCTGGGGTAGGTGTGCTAGGTGCTCTAGTGTTGGCTGTGGGGAAGGACAGTCACCTGGCCTTGGGGTTCCTGCAGGATCCATGAGCTGGTTCCAGGAGCAGTGACTGACAAGCTCCTTGCTGATCAGATGGCAAGCCTGGCAGTGTGGCACCATGGGGGATGCTCAGGTGAAAACTCTAGTCCGGCCCAGAACCCTCAGCCAGGGCTCTAGGGTGCAGGCCACTTCTCAGGGCTGCCTCTGTAGCATGAGGTCCTGGCTGTTGGATGGCCTCTTTCTAGGAGGATGGCCAGGTCCGCATCCTGCTTCATATTTAAAAACAATGGCTCTGAGCTGGGTGTGGTTAGCATACTTTTAATCCTAGTACTGGAGGCTGAGGCAGGAGGATTGAAAGTGCTAGCCCAGCTTGGGCAATTTAGCAACTTTGTCTCTGACCCAGGAGTTTGGGGTCTGTTGTTTAGAAGAATCTAAAATTAAATCCCAGAACTGAGCTATAGAGGCCAGTGTCTTGGCCATCTGCCCCTGTAAAGGCACAATATTAACAAACTGGAGCAATCTATGTAAGTCATGTTCCTGGTTTCAGTAAGAGGACTCAAAGAAGGCAAAAGAGATTATAGTTTGTGGTTACGTAAGATTTTATGAAAAATACAAAGAAAACATTATGTAATATTTTACTACCATTTCAGTGTTTAAATATCTGAATTTCAACATAGAGACAGCAAGCTTGCTTCATTTTTAAATTTTTTTGTTTGTGATATTGGATATTGATTTTTTTTGTGTATGTGTGGTACTGGGGATTGAACTGAGGACCTTGTGCTTGCCAGGCAGGTGCTTATGCCACTGAACTATCTCCCCAGCCCCTGATATTGGGTAATGAATCCAGGGCCTTAGCACTGAGTCGCACCTCCTGCCCATATTCATTTATTTAATTTTATTTTTTAGAAAAGGACTTGCCAAGTTACTGAATCATGCAGGCTGGGCTCAGACTTTGCTGTCCTCCTGCCTCAACCTCCCAGAGTTCTGGAGTTCCTGGTATACACCAGTATGCCTGACAGCATTTTATGAGGAGAAATATTCTGTAATTTAAAAGTCTAAACTTTTAAAAATTAACTTTCATGCTTATATAAATCAATATATATGTACAATATACATAAATTTTACGTGTTGCTTTCTTTTTTTTTTTTCTGGCGGAACCGGGGATTTAACTGAGACCCTTGTGCTTGCCAAGGAAGCACTTATTCTACTGAGCCATCTCCCCAGCCCCAACATGTTGCTTTCTAAACTTGGAATTCAGTAATATACAGTATTTTATATCCTGTTTTATAAAAACCATAATTTAAAAAAAACACAATTTTCTAAGATTTAGACAATGGTGGTACACACTTGTAATCCCAGCACGTGGGAAGCTGAGGCAGGAGGATTACCACAAATTCAAGCCCAGCTTGGGCTACAAAACAAGACCCTTTCTCAAATCCCAGGCCAAAGAAACAAAAACAAAACACAAATCTGGTAGAAGTTAGAATGGAGACAGTAGGTACGTCCTGCATACTTAAAGGGGATTGGAAACATTTTTAAAAGATTCCTTAATGCTTAAATCTCTCATCGTTTTTTTTTTTTTTTTTTTTTTTTTTGGTGGAACTAGGGATTGAACTCAGGCCCTTGCACTTGCCAGGGAAGCGCTTATTTCACTGAGCCATCTCCCCGGCCCTAAATCTCTCAAAAGGACTTCTGTCAGACTGTGATTAGCACAGATGTCTCAAGGGCTTGAGGCTGGACTCAGACCTTTCTGTCCAGGAAGTATTGTTTCTGTGTGCACTTGTCCTGTTGCGGTGGACAGAGCAGGCACAGTCATTGAGAAGGACTGCAAGAGCTTGGGTGTTTGTTTTGGTTTTTGCAGATCCAACCAGGGACCTCACATGTATTAAGTGAGTATATCTATACATACATTTGACCAAAAGTTATCAGAAATGTCTTTAAAATGTGTTACACAGAAATGATCTTACAGCTATAATACATTTACTTCAGTTGAGTGTAAAATATTCACATTGAGTTCGGTAACTCTAAAAAGTGTACAATTATATAAAGTTAAATTTTAATAACTAAATACTACAAGAAACTATATAGTAAATAATCAGGATCTATTTTATCTTGATTTCTTTTAAAGGCTTCTCAGTCTTGGATTTGAAAAGTTTGTCAGGGTTGGAAGTGTCAGGAAGATAGCCAAGCCGATTTTGCCATACAGGTAAGACTGCTAGCTTCTGCAGTTTGGGGAGTGTATAGTTCTTTGCAGTTCTTCCCTTCAGTCTGGTGCTGAATGAGAAGAGGGTGCCTTCTCCTCTTCTCACTTGACCCAGAAGATGGAATCTGTAGGCCACGGTGACTTTCCTTGGAACAGCCCAAGCTGCATCCCTCCAGGGTGCTTTTTTACCTGCTTTTTCCTCAGCCCAGGTTCACTGCACAGAGCCAGCTTCCCTCTTACTCTTCACCTTTACTTCTTCAAATAAACCTCACTTCTGTTAAAGTAAAAAGAAAAAGAAAACAGATTCTGTATTTTTCTCTTTTGTGATTCATGGAGAATAAAATAGGAGTATTCTTTTCCATAATTCTTTTTCTTTTCTAGCCTGCACGCAGGTGCAGAGAATGAAAATGAGCAGTTGAAGGAGCTCCATGCGCTCATGAAAGAGGACCTGACTCCTGCAGAGAGAGTGTGTGTGAGGAGGAGCATTGAGCAGCACAAGCTGGGCACCACCAGGACCCTGCTGAGGCAGGTGAGGTGCTGCTTCATTATATACTCCTCAGAGCCTCCTATTTTTCTCCGTGGAGGAGTATTTTCTGTAACAAAGCAAACAACTGTGCCAGCACAGTGAGCGTGCGTGCATGGATGGCATCCGTCTGGTCTGAGTTCTGTCTGCAATCGATGCACAGCAGTTTCTTGTTCATCACACCTGGCTCATTTTCTCTCCTCTCGATTACACATCTGTTTATAGTTGTGAGGGGGAAGTAAGGAGGTGGATTAGATTCAGTGCAAGCTCATGGAAATAGCTGTATTCTAGGAGAAACAAAGTTCAAGAAGCAGCTGTGGTCGGGGCACATTGTCAAGGTAGAGTTCCTCTTTGATGCTCTCCAGAAAGCAGCCTCGAGGGCAGGAATGCAGGGGCACAGACCCACAGAGCATCCAGCCAGTGTGGGCGTCAGCTGGGGGAGCCACTTCCTGCTGTGGGAGGACACCATGGGAAGGACAGTCGCTGCCTTCTTGGACTGCATGGGTCCTGGGCATTTTCTACAGGAGACATAGAGAAGGAAGCCTGCTCAGGACCTTGAGTTGGTGAGCAACTGCCACAATAATGCTGCTTGACAGATGAAATCTCAGTGCTTTAAATGAGATAACAACTGTTACTCCACAGATAAGTGGGGCTCAAATTTAGGTTATGGTTGAGTCTCAGAACAGTTGCCTGGGTGTGGTGATCTTCCCCTGACAGATGGTAGAAGTACACAAATATGGACCAGGTCACACAACTGAAAGCTTTGGTGTGTCCTCTCCACTACCTGCCCTTTACTATCTCAGCTCATGGCCATGCTTCTATTTTATGGCAGAGTCACAGGCAGAGGGTCAGTGTACAGGAATAATCTCACAGGTAGGAAGGAGATTGAGAATAGTCAAACTACGACAGGTTCTTATTCTAGAAGTCCTCAGGGTGGGTTTCACACTGATTTCTGTAACCTGAATTATGGAGAAAATTTTGTTTTGCTTTCTTTGGAAAGGCTCAAAACCTTTGTGTTCAGCGAATGCAAATTAGCTATGTGTGTAAGCTATTTACCATGCTATTCGCTTACCTGACACAACAGTAGTATGCAAAACAAACAAACAAAAAATGCAGTGTAAGAACAGTGTTCTGATCAATTGTTAAATGAGGCCCACTTAAAATGATCTGTTGCTTATTAGCATTATCTGTTCACAAACAAAAACTATTTTAGAGAAAATATATTTAAAAGCTTTTGGCTAACAAGTACCTAGTCCAATTAATCAATGAGACCTGACATTTATTTATTTATTTATTTATTTTCATTTATGTATTTGGTACAGGGTCTGATGCTCTGCTTTTCAGCCTCCCCAGCACTGGGATTGCAGGTGTGCGCCACCACACCTGGGTTTACTGGCTCAGTGTGCCCTCAGTGGCATGGCCGATGTAGCTTACTGGACTGGAGATTGAAACCTGGTCCCTAAGCTTGTCAAAGCAGGCGTTTAGTCCGGTGAGCTAACTCGCCAGCCCTGACACATTTTTTACAGTGATAACTCTTCACAATAAAACTGAATTTTTTTTTAAAGTTTGATACTGTTTTTTTTTAATTGAGAAATAAATATGAATGAGACAGTTTCACAGCTGATTAGTAGGACAGTTTTGATAATCAATACATTGTACATTGTTATCTTCTTAGTGGTTAT